ACGAATTTCAGGACACCCTGTATAATCACATTTTGTGATATAGAAATTATGTTCGATAATTGGAACCCGATCACATTATAATGCGTCATATTTACACTTTTCTTGTTACAGATTTTGAAAACTGTTACGACCTACATGGTTATCATGGTAGAAGTGAGCAATACACTGGAATCAAACAATGCTATAGAATATTCACATTTTTAAAGAGTTGTAGATATTATTAAATAATTTATTCATTCCGACACAGGTCTACAGTCCAGAGCCTTGACCTCCTAGCTTCAGCCTTTAGATATCCCCATCCCTCGATATCATCCTCCAGCACCTCACTCCAAGCATGTCTCTAAATTCTTATTCTCTTATCTCAATGGTGTCCCTCATATCGTTTTTCTCACTTTTTTCCTACTTCCTAATAGTCCTACACGGAACTTTGTCTCTCTTTCATGCGCTGCACGTCTCGACCAATTAACTCTCTGCAAGAGTGTATCTAACTAATCTTTAGATTTCTTCATTTTCACAATGATCAACTTTAAGACTGCACTATAACGCGAGTTCGCCTTTCGTTAAATATGTAAAGAGTTAGGCGGTACAAAGTAATCGAATGACAATAATAATACAAGTAAGTGATCATACGATAGAGTTTATTTTGATGTGTTTATTTTGCGGGGAGGCCAGATCGATTAAATGAATACAGTCAGGTGATTAATTAATTCGGTTGCTATTCTAACATCTTTTTATAATTATCAGTTTTACAGATAATTATCAATTTTAATAAATACGAACTCTACTCTTTTCTCAATAATTATATAGCACGCTTAAATATTCTGCGCAATGCGTGTTAATAGTGTTAATTTTTCGCGTTTGTAAAGTTAAAGCTTTCACGACGCACCATTTATTTCGATCTTCCACAAAACGAGAGCTAAACTGATTATTGGTATAAACGAAACATTTCTTAAATATTGCACAGAAATACGACTGCTCAGTATGCGTGGCCTGGACGGCACGCTCGATGGTGTTTAATACGTATGACATATAAATAATATATTATGATTCTTGTATTACATATTCGACAAGAATTAAATTACTATTCTTACGCTTGTCTTTAATTTCTCGCTGTCTCCTCCTCCTTCAGTCTGTTTTTGAATTACTCTATTATTTTTCAAGAATGTTTAATGAATGTTGTTCAGGACTTCTGTCCGTCACAAGATTGAGCGACCAGAGGACGGAGATGAAATATTAATAGTATGCGTGCTAAATTTGAGCAAACTTTAATGCCATTGAGTAACAATTTAAGAGATCGTAGATATCGCAACCTTAATTCTAATTAAATTATAATGTGAAAACATGTGTCAAAGGTTTGGTGAATCAAACGCAAGGTTTAAATTAACAATAGTCAGTGATTAAATTATAATATAATATTAAATGTAGTTTTTAAATGACTATAATCAAGCGATTATTAACAGAAAAGGACACGGATAGAAACGTAACGTATTTGACTAATATCGAATTCGAATTATAAAATTATTAAAATATTACAATCTCAAT